GCGACTCTGAATTAAATAAATAATCCCCTTTCGAATATTGTCACTTAAATTGGAAAAACTCCCTCGCGCATTTTACCCTTCGGGGCGGGTGTGCAAAAAGGAGGTGTGACAATAGCAAAATATTTAATTTTAATTTGGTTACCTCCTAACTCTAAGCCACTAAATACGCTAATCAGTTACACTATTTTCTTTCTCTCTCTACTTTGATACATCCCATTCTCTTCCTCATCCCATTAAAATTTCCGATCTCCTTAAAATTTCCTCAATATATTCACCTATCCTTTTCTCGTTACAGTCTCGAGAGTCAATTTCAAGTTCAATCTGGACTTCAGAAGCATCTGGTATAATATCACATATCATGATTATTTTAGTACAATATTTTTTTGGTACTCTTAATGTGAAAAACATACTGGAAGTAATGATTATGTTATGACGTTGAGGACGGAATTGACCGGGTTAGCAGGGGAAGCAGCCATAGCGAGGCAAGTGGTACTGCTTGAACTACTACGGATCAAGAAGTTGTCTTTGCGGCAGCATATTTCCATGCCCGCAAACATCAGCGTTATTGTTGGAATTGTAATGGGGACTGTGTAGCAAGTGTCGAATCCGCCAAGGCTTGTCACTGCCTTTTTCCTTGCCATTCTCCTCCTAAACTCGTTCCTCACTGCTGTATAAGCTGGCTCCACTAGCCTCGTGAATACCGTCCCTGCCAATTGAAAAAATTGAGATATGGATGTTGTAGGATGATTTTCTGTTAATATATGTCAATGTATTTTCATGTATTTCATTGTCTTTTTTTTTCATTGTAATTCAATGTATCTCGTTGTATTTCATTGTATTCACTATCTTTTTTTCTCATTTTATTTCAATGTATCCCGTTGTATTCTATGTATTTCATTGTATTCACTGTCTCGCTATATGTCATGAATGTATTCATAAGTTTTTTTAATTAATATAATTTATGTATTCAGATGTATTATATAATTTCTGTGAAGATTGCTGTGTTTTTGGAGCATTTTTCGGTTGAAAATCTTTTTTATAATTGAAAATACAAAATTTGTGTGTTATAATTGAATTTGTTGAGTTATATTAGGAGTCTATTATGTTAATTGATTCACTTTCCCTTTTAAAAACAGTGTAATCCCCTATTTCACACCGTGAATACAATAATCTGTCCAGCTGTAATCTCATGTTTCACTCCATGAATACAGTCGAATACACTCGAATACAACAACTGATTAGCTGGACTTCCCTGATTCACGCCTATTTTTGTTACTGTATTCATCAATACAATAGCTTAAATACATCAAATATATCTTATAACCACATAAAAGGTATTCATAATCTGTAATATAGCAAATAATATCTATAGATGGCTAATTACTACTAAAAGATAGTATTTTATGAAAATTTCCCACCAAAAATCAGTTTGGGATTAGGTCCAAAAGCAGTTCAACGAAAAACCTAGGGGCTAACAAGCACGGCATGGCCATTGCCCACCAACGTGGGGTATGATTCATCATCTTATTTGGCTAACGACGTCGGAGATCAAGTCAAGAATCAATTACTTTGACACATCACCGCCTCTAACAAACTCTGAGTTACTTCCACCCACATCTTAACAAATGCTAATTATGCAATGATATGAACAGGTTGAGATCAACCTAACCCTCTACCAGCTGTAGATGGTTTTTGATATTTAAAAAAAAAAAAAAAAATTGACCGTGATGGCGACCATTTGGACACGGAAAAATTGAAGTGGAAACCATTAGTAATTGTTTATCTCAATACGATTCCTCCTCATTGAAGAAAAATGCAAACAAATTCTTGAGACCACTGAAGGGGAAATCCGTTCACCCATATATATGTTGTGTTTTTTGGTAATTAAAGTATTTTATTTACCGAACAATAACATATCCAGTCTTATCCTACACCGTAGGATCCGGGAAGGGTAGTGTGTATGCAGACCTTAGCCCTATCTTGTGAGGATACAGGTTGTTTCTAATAGACACTCAGCTCAGGAAAGTATAAGCACCACATTAATAAAAATATAGACAAAAAGGGATAGTACCAAAAAGCCATATAAAAGTAGAATAAAAATAACAAGGTAATAAGATAATCCACAAATTGCAGCTAAAGCTCTAGCGTTATCTCCTGCTGGACATGAAGCCCCAGGTAGGAGTTACCTATAAACTTTACTACTAATCCTCTACTGCTACTATTTCCTCTAGCCTACACCAGGGTACCAATTCAATTTAAACATTACTCGATCTAATCGGGGGAATATGGTGGCCCTGACATGTATTTCCTGAATGATCAATCGTAGTATAGCAATTGTTGTTCTCTTCTTTTTCTTCTGAAATATCACATTATTTCTTTCTTGCCAAATGTGGTAGTCATTCTACATACTGCTGCACCTTATTCTTTCCTTTGCTAAGTTGTTCCCGCCATGTCAACTCCTCTTGCCAAGCTTTCTTTGTTCTCTGTATACCTTGACACTTTAGTAGGTGCTGCCATATATCTCCTGTTATCTCACAATCAAAGAATAGATGTTGCACTGTTTTATTCTCTCTTTGGCATAGTGAGCATGTTTGCTCTGGATTGATCCCCCAACTTGCTACCTTTCTTTTGTAGCAAGCCTTTGTTGTATTGCCAGTCTTAGTATGAATATCCACTTGGGCTGTGCCTGATTGTTGCATACTAATTTCCTTCATGTCATCTTTGAAAATTCTCCCTGCATGGCTTTGTATATTTGTTTAATAGAGGAGTTCTACATCTTCTGTAAATCCAACATCTTCAAAGTAGCTCCTTGCTTTGATTATTTTTTGGATAACCCACGATGCATTCTTGGGCTTTGTAGTCCAGACTATGTTCCCTTTTATGTAGTATGTATGTATCTATTGCACCCACAGTTTCTCCTTTCTTGTGCAAATATTTCATAGTAGCTTGCATATTGTTGCTTTGTTCCATATTGGTAAAATTTAGGCCCCCTGCTACCTTTAGTGCACAAAGTTTGTTACAGGCGATCAAAGCCTTCTTTGTTGGTTCAACAGCCCCTGTCCATAAGAATCTTCTACAGATTATTTCTATGAATTGGATAATTTCCTTTGGCAAGATGAATATCTAAGCCTATAATGTTTGTATAGCAAATAGCACACTCTTAACTAACAATGCTCTTCCTACATATGAAAGAAATTTTTCTGTCCAACTTTGAATCCTGTTTAGCATCCTCTCTATTAAGGGTTCATATTGAATAGAAGATAACCTCTTAGTGCTCAGTGGGATACCCAGATATCTGAAAGGTAGTTCACCTTTAGTGGAGCCTAGCATGTCTATAATTAACTGCTGAAGCAAGTTGCTCATACAACCAAAGTAATGTGGCTTTTGTTCGGATTTGCAATTAGACCTGAGGCTGTTGAAAACATTTGAAAGTGCTGGTGTAGTATCTTAACTGATTGCATGTCTCCTCTAGAGAATAGAAGTAGATCATCAGCAAATCCCAACTGAACTAGGTTGACTCTGACACACTTTGGATGGAATTTAAATTGTTTGTTGTCCTTCATTGTCTTCAGTGATCTACTTAGGTACTCCATAGCTAGTACAAATAAGAATGAGAATAGTGGATCCCCCTTGCCTCAGCCCTTTTCTTGCCTTAAATGGCACATCAGACTTACCATTGATTAGCACAGAGTATGACCCAATTCTAATACAGGCCATTATCCATTTCACAAACACTTCAAGGAAGCCCAATAGCTTCATCACTTGTTCAATATACACCCATTTCACAAAGTAGGCCTTCTGCATATCTATTTTGAGCATACATCTGGGGAAGATGTTTTTCCTCCCATAGCCTTTAACTAGCTCATGGCTCATGATGATATTGTTTGTAATCAGTCTACCTGGTACAAAGGTTGTTTGGTAATTATCAATTAATTCTGCCATCACATCATAAAGTTTCGCTCTGAGCACTTTAGATATTATCTTATAAAGTACTATGCAACATGAAATTAGCCTGAAGTCATTGATGCTTGTTGGATTCTTAAACTTTGGTATCAAGGTAATGGTGGTGCAATTGATGGCTTTATAGCCCGTTTGGCCAAGCTTCTAAAATTAGCTTATTTTGAGAAGTGCTTTTCTTAAAAGTACTTTTAAAAAAGTGCTTTTGGTGAGAAGTAGTTTGTATTTGGCTAATTAATTAAAAAAGCACTTTTGAGCAGTAATTAGTGTTTGGCCAAGCTTTTGAAAACTGCTTCTAAGTGTATTTTTCTCAAAAGTGCTTCTGAGAAAAGTGCTTTTGGAGAGAAGCTACTTTTTTCTACTTCTGTTTCTCCTCAAATGCACTTTTTTTCCTTCTAAAAACTTGTCCAAACACCTCAATTTTTGGCCAAAAGTGCTATTGGCAAAAAAAGCACTTTTGGCCCAAAAAAAGCTTGGCTAAACAGGCTATTACACATATCAGCATTTTCGAAGAATTCTATAACTGTTGTAGTAACTTCCTCACCCAAGGTGTGCCATGTCTTTTTAAAGAAGAATAAGTTATAGCCATCACACCCTATTACTTTGTTGTCATCAATGTCCATTATATATTGCCTCACTTCCTCTTTGGTAACTGATTTTATATGTTGTAGTTGTTGTCTCCTATTTAAAGTATTTCCATTCTGCATCATCTCTGGGTTGACTACTGGCAATTGAGTTGCAGTAGTACAAAGCAGTCCCCTGTAGAAGCTTAGTATTTCTTCCTCCACTTCAGTTGAACTTTGTAGGATTTGCCCAGTGCTATTGGTTATTCTGCCAATATTATTCCTTGCTTGCCTATTTTTCATGTAAGCACGGAAATATGCTGTATTAGAATCCCCAAGTTTAAGCCACTGAAGTCTTGACTTTTGTTTCAATACACTCTCCTTAACTATCAACCACTTCTCCAATTCTAGCTTTGCAGCCTTTTCAACGGTTACTGCCTCATAATCTTGGCCTGGGATAGTCATTTGGACTTGTACGCTTCCCAGTTTTCCCTTTGTTGTTTTTATCTTACACCCTAAATGACTAAACTCTTATTTGTTCAGTTGTTTTAAGGCTCCTTTTAGTGCTTTGAGCTTATTCCACACAGTAAGCATGGCAGGTCCCCTTTTGCTAATCCTCCAGCATTGCTTTACAGTTGCATCATGTTGGATCAAGTAAAGGAGAGTTTTGAAGATTGACAAAGGAACTCAGACATAGACCAGGTCCATCCTAGTGAACCACAAATATGGCCGACTCAAGCATGTGAAGGAGATAAACCTCACTTACTAGAAATGATATCTCCTGATCGAAAAGGTTGCATATGGGATAAGGAGAAAGACTTCTTACGCAAAGAGAATACAGCTTAAGATATGGATAGAGCTAGAGGATGAGATCAACTAGAACTCTTCCACCAAGGAAGAGTAACATCTGTATTCTAGTCAAACTTTTTTTACTAACTCCATAAATATCAGTGTTGTTCTCTTTTACAGGCAATGCACATAAGCAGAAGTTAAACATGAATTGAGAGCAAAATAGCAAGGCACAATTTTGCAAGTAATTTATGTGTGATTCAAGCGTGCAATCCTGAAGCTACTTGAACCAGATAGAAGAACCAGTTCCAAGTGTCTGTCTTTTATTCTAGTTCAATTGTAGTAGGTGATTTAATATTGTACCTTTCAGCTTTATCTAGAAGCAATTGTATTAGGTACTTAGAGTTTTCAAGTTAGAGTTAACTTGAAGTTGTCGCAACAGTTGAGGCTGTGCGCTACAACGGGATTAGAGTTAATCCTAGGTTTATAAAAGAGTTTTTTGTAAATGCAGTTTTTGGCTCAGTGATTTTAGTAGAGAGTTTGGAAAAATCCTACTGGAAGGTAGGTCGTGATTTTTTACCTTTTGAGCCAGGTATTTTCCACGTAAAATATCTGTGTTCTTTAATTTTTGTATTTATTATTCCGCAACAGTAGTAGTTGGAACAGATCAAAGAACCAGGTCATTCTATAATTAGATTAAACGAAAAATTGGGTACCACACAAATTACCCCCTCTTGTGTGGTATTGGAGTATAAAACATCAATTGGTGTCAGAGCGGGTTATCTTTGAAGAGGTTAACACCTTAGGAACAGATCAAGATGAGTGCACCACCTGGAAACTAGGAAGGACAATCCACTGTTAGGACTTCACTCTTTAATGACCAGTACTATTCCTGGTGGAAGAATAGGATGAGAGACCACATCATAGGAGAAGACTATAAACTTTGGGACATTGTTACTGATGGTCCCTTGGCTACTACAAAGAAGAATGCTGAAGGAGTGGATGTGCCAAAGACTAAAGCTGACTGTACTGTTGAAGATTTGAAGAAGTGGGAAAAGAATGCCAAGGCCAAGAAATGGCTTGTGTGTGGACTAGGTCCAGATGAGTACAACAGAATTCAAAGTTGTACTACTGCTAAGGAGATTTGGGACACTCTACAAGTGGCCCATGAAGGAACTCTTCAAGTAAAGAGATCAAGAGGAACGTTGTATTCTCAATATGAGAATTTCACCATGAAGGAAGGAGAAACCATCCAAGATATGTACACAAGGTTCACAACACTAACAAATGAACTTAAGTTTCTTGGAAGAATTATCCTTGAAGAAGATAAGGTTGAGAAAATCTTGACAAGGGTCTTGCTAGTAACTTGGGAAATCAAAATCATTACTATTCGGGAATTAAAGAACATTGCTACTCTCAAGTTAGATGAGCTGATTGGAAATCTCATTGCCTATGAACTGAGAAGGCAAACCATAAAGATGGATGCACCCAAGAAGGAAAGAAGCATGGCTCTCAGAATAGCTGAAGGTGCAGACTTAGAGGATGATAAAATGGCTATCATTACAAGTGATTTCAAGAAGTACCTAATGAGAGGAAATGGTTCTTCAAGAGGTGCAACCTTCAACAAACCAAGGGCTCCTAAAAAATAGACCAACGAGGGTTGCTACAAATGTCGTAAGACTGACCACATGATCAAGAATTATCCCTAGTAGGAAATTGAATGGAAGAAAGAAAGGGCTGAACGAAGAAATAGGAAGAAGGAATAGGTTCAACCCAAGAAGAACAAAGGATCAACAAAGGCTATGGTTGCTACTTGGGGAAAAGTTCAGATGAGGATTCAGAAGATAAAGCTGGAGATGAACAAGAACATATGGCCATTGAAGAATTAGATGATGAACAAGAGGTCAAAGTGAAGGGAAGCAGTCAAATATGGTACATGGATAGTGGCTGCTCAAAGCATATGACTGGAATCAAGAACCAGTTCCTTTCACTTGAGGACCTCAAAGGAGGTAATGTCTCCTTTGGAAATGGTAAGAAAGGAGAGATCATTAGGGTTGGAAAGGTAGGTAAGACAGACTCACACTCTATTGAGAATGTCTACTTGATAGATGGATTGAAATATAGCCTAATCAATATATCACAATTGTATGACAGAGGTAACTTGGTAGCATTCACCTCTACCAAATGTTTTGTGATAAATCTTACCACTGACAAGATTGTTTTGTTGGGAAAAAGAGTAAACAATATATGCATTGTAGATTTTTCCACTCTTTTAGAAAATGAACTCACTTGCCTAAGTGTGTTGGATAATGATCCTCTCCTTTGGCACAAAAGACTTGGACATGCAAGTCTAAGTCAACTCAACAAATTAGTCTCCAAGGACCTGGTGATAGGGCTACCTAACATCAAGTTTAAGGATGACAAAGTTTGTGAGGCTTGTGCAAGGGAGAAGCAGGTAAGATCCTCTTTTAAAAGCAAGAAAGTAGTAAGCACGACCAGAACGATGGAACTGGTTCATATGGATCTCTGTGGTCTAATGAGAACATTAAGCAGATGTGGTAAGAAATATGTGATGGTGTTTGTTGATGATTACTCTAGGTTTACTTGGATATTATTTTCAACATCCAAGGATGAAGCATTTGACATGTTTACTGCCTTTGTTAGAAAAACTCAGAAATAACTAGGTAATCAACTTGCATCAATTAGGTCTGATCATGGAACTGAATTTGAAAATGCTAAGTTTGCTAAATTTTGTGATGAGCATGGTATAGATCATAATTTTTCTACCCTTATTACTCCTCAACAAAATGGAGTAGTTGAAATAAAGAATAGGAATCTTGAAGATATGGCTAGGACTATACTTCTTTCTAGTAAACTACCCCATAGCTTCTAGGCAGAGGCTGTAAATACTGCATGTTACATCATTAATAGGTGCATGACTAGACCTCTTGTAGAGAAGACTCCCTATGAGTTACTTAAAGGGAGAAAACCAAATATATCCCATTTTAGGGCATTTGGATGCAAGTTCTTTGTGCACAATAATAGAAAGGATTCCCTGGGTAAGTTTGATCCCAGAAGTGATGAGGAAGTATTCTTGGGATACTCTTCACATAGCAAAGCTTATAAAGTGTACAACAAAAGAACTTTGTG